CCACAGGAAGGATGGGGAGCAGGCTGCTGGGTGAACAGCACGCTCCTGGCTCTGTGTCCAACCGGCACTAATGACCAGGCACGCCACCAACAGACCTTCCCAGGAATTCCAGGCAGGATGTTATAGGTAAAAGTTAAGTTAAAATAGGATATAGTTCAATTATATTGTATTAATTATGTTCTATTATTTGTATTATGTTAAAGGAGAGGGGCTCATTGGAATGTGCTAGAAGGGTGCAGGGTTTGGTGAAACAGGGGTCTGATGGGGCAAGGCAAGGTGGAAGAGAGATTGGATGAAAGATCTGACCAATCATTCGAAGCCCTGCAGAAACGATTGGTCCAGAATGAGCGGCAGTAAAGACCAATGAGAAGCCTGGAAATGGACCAATCACCATGAGGATCCAAAATGCACCAATCCTGGACTCGAGGGGGACTATAAATGTGGGGAGTTCGTTTGGGTCGGGGTTCTTCTTCTTCTTTTGGGGTACTTGTTGTTTGGGAGAACCCAGTGCACTTGGGGTGAGCGCACTGTTTTTGTTTTTGGCTCGCTGTGTGGGTGCCTGGGCTTATCCTGGGCACTCCGTTCCTTGTAGCTATTTTAATAAACGCGAACCTCTTTCTCTGGAGAAAGTTTGGCCTCGTTCATATCCATAACAGGAGACGTGCCATGTCCATCTCATCTTGATTTTTGATAATTTTCCACCCTAAATTGATTTTAGATATTTTTCTACTTGGCTAGGTGATTGTTGGTTGGCTTTTTAAGTTCTTCTGTATGGCGACTGAAGATGTTTGCCATCAGGCAGGAGTTTTGTTTCCCCAAGAGCAGCAGCCTCAGCTCCTGGAAGCAGGCAGCTCCAGTGGCTGCACCGGGCACCTGCTGACCTCAGGCCTTGTTCTTTCACCTGTCTTGTCACTGACCTGTGTCTGCTGGTGCTGAGGGATTGAATATATGATGCCAGTAGCCTTCCCCTCTGGGGAGGTGCAAAGGAAACACCAGACATTGATTTCTGGTTGTCTCTGTTCACATTTTGTACTGGAAATTCACTGATAGGCATTCAAGCACGGAATGCAGCGGTTGCTTGGAAGGTGGCCAGACAACCCTGGCATTCTGGGAGCAAGTTATCTTTCTGCAGTTTGTCTAGCAGAGAGGCAATGTGGTTCAATGAAATTTTTCTGCCTATACCCTGAGGTGATGCTGGTTGCTTCAAGTCATAAGCAGCAAAATCTCAGGGCTGTGAAACCCTCCAAGCCAGGAGTGGCACCTGTGTTAATACAGAAAGACACAGAGTTTGCTTCTGACCCATTTCCATGTCATAGGGCATTATAATTCTGTGCTGTTAGGTTGTGCTGAACCTAGCCCTGGTTAACAGTGGGCTGAGGCAGCTGGGTGCTCACTGCTGGGGCAGGGGCAGCCTGGGGCCCACCAGCAGCCTGGCCTCATCTCAGCTGTCACTGTGAACTCTTCAACCCCCGTGCTGAAGGCCTGAACACACTCAACAGCTTCACATTTGTCTTCTCTCTCCCAGACTTTCTCTTCCAAACATTCTGACTGTTAAGGGCCACAGCCAAGCTGGAGGCGCACTGGCCCCCGGGATGCCCAGGTGGGGAGGGGGCTCTGTCCATTGCCAGGGAGCTCCAGGCTGGGAGCAGGTGCCCCCTGTCCCCAGGGAGCCCCGGCCAGCTGTGCAGGGCAGGGCTGGCACAGGTGGGAGCAGCTGCTGCGCTCGGCAGGCACCGAGCATGTTTGCCCAAGGATTAAGCAAGGTAAGCCTCTGGGCTTGTCCATCCCCATTTAGGGGGCCCAGTCCCTTTACCTTTCTCTGTGCACAGGGCATTTCAGGGCTGGTATTTAAGGCCCTGGTCCCCTCAGGAGGGCACCTGGGGCTGGCAGGACGTGCTGAGCCCCATGTCCTGCTGCTTTGGGCAGGCACGGCCGTGGCGTCTGCTGTCTGCTCAGCTTTACTTTGAGGTATTCAAACTTAGCAAAGTGGCTTTTTTTAGATCCAAATGCATAGATCAGGTGGTCACCTGTGTCAATATGTTTATTCACAGACCCTAGCTGCTCCCAGAACCAGCCTTCTCTAAACATAACTAGGCTATTTAAGTAGTTGCTCGCAATTACCTCCTGGTTCACACAAAACACCATGAATTCCCTCACTGAGCAAAATCTCCAGGTGCCACCAGGGTGAAAAGCAACAAGGATTTTGCTGTTGAGTGCCTCAAATATTTCTAAGATCCTACTGTCAATGGATGTTTACTCCTGAAGCGCTGCCCACTGCCTACTCTGCCATTATGTCAGTTTTCAGCCCAGCAGCTTTACCGGGCACTTGGACAGCTCTTCCCTCCTGTCAGCCTCCCTCGTCCCGGCTCACACTAATTAGGCTGGAGGCATCTGCAGCAAAGCCTGATTTGGGGCTGGATGTGAATAGAAGCTTTTCAGCTTTTCTCCTTTCGCCTGCCCTAAATTATTGATTTCTGGGATTGCAGCAAGGCCATCACTGTGTGTGTCTGTGTGAGAGTGGGCGAACAGAGCCCCACACCTGGTCCCAGCAGGCGCTGAACTATCGGGTCATCTGGAACATGAGTCTCATTTTCAGCACTGCACAATTTTCTCCACACTGATGTTATCTTTGCCATCAGCTACTGGCATGCAGCAGCTCACATATGCCATTAGCAGGTGGCAGAAGACATAAATGGAATTTTCTCTCAGAGCATTTCTTCCATTCTTCCTCCCAGACTGATGAAGTGCAAGTTCAAGCTAAAGGCATGCAGTGACTACAGCCCGTTCCCAAACAGGGCCATGGAGAGTTAAAGCAGGCTCCAGGAGAAACTCTCACGTCTTTCAGTCTCTCTGCCATGCTAGCTCTCACACACTGCCCTTGGAGCACGGCGAGTGCAGCTGTGTGTGCCTGCGCTCCTGACACCCTGCTGGCCAAGCACCTGCCCATGGTCTCAGCAACTGCTGCCAGCCTGGCTCTGCTCTGGGCCCTGGAGATGAACACAGAAATTTAAGGATCAGGCAAACAAATGGCCAGAAAAGGCATGAATTCAGGGACACAGCATGTGCCCACTGTGTGGCCTCCAAAAGGAGGAGGCGAGGCATGAGGAGCTCCAGATCATCCCACGGTTATGCTGCTGTGGGCTCAGGCTGACCTGCCTTCCAGCAGAGCCACACTCAGAGGCAGCTGGGAGCTGCTGCTGGAACCGTGTGCCCGAGTGCACTCCTCACTCACCATTCACTTTTGCATCTGCATGTCTTACAGAAGATATAAATGGCTTTTTGAAAAACCTTATCCAGGGTTCTTCTTTTATTTTTAATATGTTTTTTTTTTTGGTCTCCCTCAACTGCAGCAAATCCTGCTCAAAGTTGCTCCTGAACTTGATGGAAAAGAAACATACTAAAGACCATGGCTCAGGACCCCCTTGGTCTCCAGACCTGACATGAGCATTTATTTTTCATCTATTTTGTTTTGTCCCGAAAGGACAATTTCATTCCAGCTTCATGAGCTCATCCTGAAAAACAATAGAACATTTCCAAAGTCACAAAATTCTGTAGAATTGCAAGTCTAATGCTTTAGATCCAAAGCTCAACTTTGGATTTTTTTCCCCACAAACAGATACTCGACCAAATGAAAAGTGCTTCAGTGCTACAAGTGCCACATTGATGCTCCTGTGTGTCTGAATGGGGGAGGGGACTGCCATTACCTTTTGTTCATGAAAATCTTTACATTCCAAGGTTATTTAAAATTATTTTCTTCCATACAAACATAGTTTCTATTGCCCAGTGTGCTCTCTCGTCATATGTGGGAATGCCATTCCCTGGCTTCAAGAAGCGTTTGGGGTTTTGAATGCTGCTCCTTTCCCACGTGGGGGTGGTCTCTGCCCCCTTCCCCCTGGGCTGCTGGGGCTCAGGGCAGTGCAGAGAACACGGAACCATCGGAGCCAGACTGCTGGTGCACCTGGGCACAGCTGCCACTGGAAAGGTGCAGGGGAGAGGCACTTTGTTCCAACCATAAAAATCACTTCCTTAGAAAAGTATTTTGCCTACAGCCCACTGTAGATTGCAGGCCCAGATAACTCGCTTGCTTTGTCCAGGATCAGAGCTGGAACTCTGCAGAGGGGGCACGGCCAGCCCTGGTGTGAGCACTGCTGGCCACACAGGCAAAGGATCTCCTGTGCCCGATGACCCAGGGCATAAGGAAAGAAAAGGCAGTAAGGAAAACAGGGGTTGTAATAATTCTGTTGTACTGTAGGGAAAAAAAGAACTTGTCATCTGGCTAAGAAAGCAAACTCCACTGGATCCTAAATTTCCTACCGATCTCCATGGAACAGCTTCTGTCAAGTGCTGTCAATACCTCAGAGTTCTCCCATGCTCCTTTCTTTTAAAGTTCAAAGTCAAAAGGTGACTTTGAGGTGGCTGCAACTATTTGCCCTTTTCTTCCCTTGAAGCAAACAACCAGTAAAATTCCCTGGCATATTTTTCTCCTTTCTGAAGTTTCTTTCCTCCATTGCCCTCCTCCATAAAATCAGACCCCTTTTCACACATGGGTGAACCTAGAAAATCATTTAGAGTGGGAAGCACGTGAACCACTTCAGTGAACATCAGGTAATTGTATGTTAGAGGCCTTTTGAAAGGTCATCTATTTCTGGGTAACTTTTCCAGCTGCTTTCTTTGTGAACTGAAGCTCAGGGGCACCGAGGGAAGAGCAGGGTGTCTCTGCACACGTCTGCAGCTCCCTGGCCCTGTGATTCCTTTGATGTTTTCTTTCCAAGGTGCCCATCTCCACCTGCTTGTGCCATGTTTGTATCACTCACCTCTCCTGGGAATGGCTGAGGTTTTCAAACACACTGCTCATTAGATTCTACACTTTTCTGAAAAAGGTTTGACTTTCCAGCAGCATCAGGATATGAAAAACAAGCTGAAAATCACAAGACACACAGACAGACTCACAGACAGAGCAAGCACTGGAGTGCTGGTGAACCTGCCCGTCCATGGCTGCTCCCAGAGCATTTCTCCTACAACGAGGATTCCAGGGGGGCTCACGCTGCAGCTTCACCTTCTCAGCACCACAAATCTGGGCATTATTCCTAACAAACCAATAAACTTTGCGGTAATAAATAAGAAACTAAAACATTAATTTAAATGAACTGACAAGTGTTACAGCCACAAGATGGTAATACAATCCCAATTTCCATTCAAAACCAGACAAAAACCATCAAGCAACACTAAAGAAACTTTATGTTCTTTAGTAATTCAATTTCAACTACAGAAGTGAATAAATTTGTTTTATACTAAGAATGGAAGCACATAGAGGAACTTCTCTAGATAAAATTTCTATTTTAGCAGAGATTTAAATTTCCTAAACTGATCTTGTTTTCTGAAAAACAACCCAGAATGAGAAAAGAACAATGACACTCAGGCTGCACATTCATTAAAGTAAAGGCTTTTTAAAAATTGCAAACCTGGCAATTGAGGCCGTGATTTGTCCTCCTGGGAATGCAAGTACAGTCAGCTCCCAGTCCCAGATTCCTAACTGCTGCTGCAGACACTGCCCAGGTTCTGCCACGTTCGCCTGTGCAGGGTTCTGTTCCTGAGGCTGCATTCCTGGGTCCTGACAGAGCCACCACACAGCTCCAAACACGGCAGCGCTCAGGCAGACACATGTGCACCAAGGCATGTGCACAGAGGCAGGGATAGCTGAAATTTTAACTAAGGAAAGCGTAAGTGACATATCCATTTGAGAAAGTGATGGTTGTGCAGTGCAAGGGCATCAGTGCAAGCTCCAGAGCTGCAGCCAGCAGTGCCTCTGCTGCAGGAGAGCAGGAGCCCAGCTCTGCCCCGTGCCTTATAATTCTTTTTACTAGTTATTGCAGTTACTGTTTGGAATGCGCTTCACTGCGGAGGCAGCAAAGCCCCATGGACATTTGCATGAAAGAAACATTGATGTGACTCTGTTAAAGAGACCAAAAGGCATTTTGTGGTTTTTTAGGTTTGCCCAAGTCCTGTATATTTGTATTTCTTGATACTGCTGCAGAGTATAGGAGCTATTGGCAGCTGTGCCCTGGCACCAGCGCTGGCCCTGGCAGTCTGTGCCAAGGTCATGGCCAGCAGCCCCAGAGTGGCCTCGCTGACCCTGCACCGACCTGCGCTCCCATCGCCACACAACATTAACTCTGACTTATCCATGGAAATGAACAATTTTCCAATGGCAGAATGGACTCAAATTGGTGATCTTGGCAGGCTCCAGCCAGGTGAAAGCTGACCCTGTTACAGTGCTGTGAGCACAAAGGAACGCCTCAGCCGTTCTTCTGACGTGGAACGGGGCCATAAAGCAGCTCTGACCCCCTGGCACTGCCAGAAAATCCTACACTTACGTGTCTTAAACCACTCTAGGCTGAGCTTGTCCTAAGTCTCTGATCTCTGCATGTTACTCATTCCAATGCACACTCTAGGGCTAACCACAGTAGAGAGAAAAACAGCTGAGGACACAAAACACCAGAATAATTTTAAGCATTCACTATTAAAATACTGTATAAATTAAAAATGCTGTCAGCATTTACACTAAAATCAAAAGCATCCCTAGTTTTAGGCTTTGTTTTACATTTCGTGCTGAGTTCAACAATAAATATTCCATCACAAGAACTTAGTTTGAACGTTCAGCAATTTTTAAGACTGCCCAAAGCGAGTTTGAAGCGGGCCTTTCCCAGCAGCCAGAGCTCGGGGGGCTGTGTGGGACTGGCAGCGTCACCCACAGCCTGCCTGTGGCAGGGGGGCTCCAGGGGCACGGATCCCTGCGGGAGCCAAGGCCGAGGGTTGCTGTGCTGGCTGCTCTCACCAGGCCCAGCAGGGCCCAGCTGCCGTGGCTGTGGCAGAGCTCCCTGCCAGCCGTGCCAGGAACATCACCCCGAGCTCGTGTGAGCACCCAGAGGCGCTGGACGCTGCCTGCTCAGGGACGGCTGCCCGGCACCCCGAGCCCCTGCGCAGAGGCTGCACTGCCCAGACACTGCGGATGGCAGAGACGGCTGAGCCCAGCACCTCATCACCAGCTCTGCCTGTTCATTAGTGTTAATTAGTGCTCCCCAGCCCCAGGAAGCAGCAGCGCTTCACTTCCAGGGGAGCCGCCCAGAGGATGCACCCCTGTGGGTGGGACATGGGGAACGTGGGCCGTGGCAGGTGGGCACTGCCACGGGTGGGACTGGGCACGTGGGATGTGGGCAGCACGGCAGGTGAACCACGGGCATGTGCCCATTGCTGCCTCGGTAATTGCACAGACTTCAGGACCAGAATTTCTCATCCAGAATGCCAAAGAGCAAATCTCCACACTTTCCTGCAGTAGTTAAATCTTTTCTTTATTTATCAGGGCAATATCTTTCAGGAATCAAAAGCTCAGGCCCTTCCTCCCCCAGTGGTGAGCCCATGTGGCACAGCACCAGCCAGCCCCAGGGATGCCCCTGCAGCACTCACCCTCACCATGGCCAGGCTCCCAGGGCTGCTGAAGCAGAGGCTTTGGCAAGTGCTGTCACTCAGAAGGGAGTGTACCTGTCCTATACGTTTGCTGATCCCCTGAAATGAGAGATGAAATGAAACTCATTAAACTATTCGAAGCAAGGACTAAAAAAAAAATTACTCCAATGAGGAATGCATTTAAAAGCAATGATACAGGTATTATCAGCTAAAGAGGCTGCTGTCTCTTCCAGAACTTGCTGCTGCTGACAAGACCTTAACATGTCAGCTGGTATCACCACTAACACCTGAGACAGCAAACAAGAGCTAATCCTTACACCCTTCTTGTGCTAATGACTGCAGGAGATAACTGGTGTCCCTGGCAAGTGTCCCATTTAATTCAATTAACTCCAGCCGAGCCCTGCTGACTGCGCTGGCAGTGTCAGAGAAAGCCAGAAGCCAATCTGGAGTCAGATGGTAAAACCAAGGCAGTCTCCACCATCCCTCTGTGGGCCAGTCCCCAGCAGCCGAGCCCAGGGCTAACAACCAACCTGGCATCCACAGCAGCTTCTCCAAGAGAGTGTGCAAAAGCATCATTTTTTCCTGAAAATGCTCAACGTTTTTTTTCCCTGAGAAAATGCAGGCAACTAATTTTGCTTATTTATTCTGAAATGCTGGGTCATGTGTTGGTTTAAGCAGCAGTTTCACAGTGTTCCCACCCCCTTCCACGGGTCCAAGCCAGTGGGAAGATCACGTTTCTCCTAACACAAGGCAGATGTCTGCCAGCTGATCTGGGGGCACACAGAGCTGCTGGCCCCTCCAGGGAACCCTGACACTTGCAGAGATTGAGGTGTCTGAGGTATGAACTGAAACATTCTGATAAACATGAAAAATAAACTAACCATGAAAAATTAAGCTGCAGGAACAACTGGTATATCCCCTCAGTTGATACAATTTCCAGGTCTGTTTGATGATAGTAAAAAAATACTTTCCAAATATTTTCTTTTCCCTTTGAACATTCTTCTGCTGTGAGCTTCAACAGGCAGTGATGTATCTGCCAACTCATATTATTCAGTTAAGAAGTTTTGAAATAGAAAGAGATATGCAGAGAAGTTTCCTTGGTGGCACTTTTGAAGTGTAAGTCTGGGATAGCAGGTAAAATCCTGAGATGCCTTTACACTGCCAACATAAATAGAAAGTGTATTTAAAGACCGGAGATTATCCATTCCTTGACAGGGCTGTCATACCTACTGTGTTGTCAGGTCTCAGTAACACTTTTATTTGAAGGTCAGTCCAGCACAAATAACACCCAGAAAAGCTCTTCTGCTGGAAAACAAAGCATTCAAACCTTCAAAAGGAGCTATAAGGACCTGTATGTGACCATCAGCTTGGACATGTCTCTCAAGCAGCAGGAGCCAGTGGAGATTTCTGAAGCTTCACTGAGCTTCTTTGTGGAAAACTTCGTTCTGGTGTTCCAGTCATCCCCCAGCCTTTGCGTACCCTCCAGGATGGCTGAGAGCACAACAGGGAAGCCCAAACAGTTAAAATGTCACTGTGTTGCACCTGCAAATCCACTGGAGAACAACAATTCTCTGCAAATCAAGCTCAGCTGCTCTTCAGCAACTGGCTTCCAACTCAGAAAGCTGTGTTATGGGTCCACTCATTAACATTAAATACATGTTTAAATAAACTTCTACATCCTATGGACATTTTTCCCATGCCGTGGCTCCATTGGATAAAAGTGCTGAGCTCCTGGTACAGATCTTGGCACTCATCTCCCATTTGTCCCCATCTATGTGTTTGGTATTTTCCAGAAAAGAACCAACCTCCCCACTGTGCTGCAAACCCAGCTGTGCCCAGGTATTTCCAGACAGCCCAGGCTATTCCGTCAGGCACCACTTTTACACCGGCACAAGGTGTACATCCATGAGGAATAACATGCGGAGACCCGAGCTGTGCAGAAATACTTGCAAGCAGAAGAATGCCACAAAGCGCAGCCACAGCTGGAACTCCCACCCCTGCCAGTGCAGGAGTCCTGGGCAGGCTGGGCTCAGTGGGGCTGCAGCCCAGAGCAGGGTGCATGGAGCACAGCACACAGGTCCAGGAGAGCACTCAGACCAGGCCAGCACAGCGGGACAGAGCTGCCATCCTTCCTGGTGTGTCCCAGAGAGCCACAGGTGGCCGCTGCCCAGAGAACACTCCAGTCCTTCCTTGTGCTTACAGGCACAGGGTGCATGCCTGTGGCATCCTGCAATCAGCAGCCTTCCCCCTTCATACCCCCAGCAGGACTGTGCTGAGCCTTATCATTTGCCAGGTGGGGTGTCAGCCAAGGGGAAATTGCGCCTCATGAGGGCCGGTGCCCACGTGAGCCATGTGTGTGGCAGCAGTGGGACAGCAATAAAAAAATTGCATAAAAACCCCAGGGCCTTTCAAAGCATTTCCAAATGCTGCCCCAATTTCCCTGCTGTGTGTCAGGTTCTAGGAAGCAGCCACCCACACAAAGCAACCGTGGAGCCACATCTAAGACTGCCTCACCTGTGCTACGGAAAGAGCTGACAATGGCATTAGCATGAAACTAAAATTAGAGGCTAATTGGGTTCTGCAGTCACTGAAATTGATGACAGCTCAGTAATTAACATCCCTGGATTTTCTTGACTAAAATAAACCTAAAATCTGCTCCCATTCATGCTTCTCCCTGCTCCACGAGCAAGTACTGTGTGAGCCTGGCCCGCTCTGCACACAGGGGAGTTCTGCCACCTCTGCCAGGGCTTGTGGGGCTCCCAGCAGTTACCGGGGCAGGCATAGCCCTAGGAAGGGCTGTGTATCTGCAAATCAGTGTCATTTCACAGAAATGGGATGTGATATTCACTGCCAGGGTGTGGGAACCATCACCGGTGCAGAACAGACACGACACCATCCAGCAGAAACGGGAGAGGCCATGGCGCCGTGTCACCGCACCTTCGTGCAGGTGCGTGTGACAGTGAAACCAGTGCTGCTGCTGCTGCTCCAAGGAAAACGGGGAGACACCAACATTAAACAGTGAGGGACTAAAAGCATCTGCTCAGGGTGTCAGTGGGACACAGGCCCAAGCCTCTATCAGTACTCCTTGAACGTGAATCAGAACATCTTCTGTTAAGGCGGGCAATAACACCTACTGAAAGGCACATGAACCTTTCACTGGACCTCCCTGGGGTGCATCACACATTTGGAGCACGGAAAAACACACCCTATTTAACTGTACAAGTTATTTTCAAGTTGAATGGGTTGTTGTCCAAGATCCATAATGAGAGACCAAATGCACTGCCATCACAGCTGCAAGCTCTGCCTTAGACAATGTGCTGAAGACTTGCTGTGCAGGATATGGCCACGTGCAGCCTCTTTCAGGCTTTCTGTGTATGTGTGTGCCCACCTGGCTGTGCTGTGCTCACCTGCCCTGCGCTCATCTGCAATTTGTGCAAGAGTTCTATGGTCTCATTTCTAGTTCATTGTTCTGTACAATATTTGGAGTCTCTGATCCATAAAAACATCTTACAGTGGTACATTCGGAAAAGCCACGGCATGCTTCTGCCTCCACTCACAGCTGAAGGCTCTGACTGCTGACAGAGCTGTGCTTCCGAAGCCAGCCCACCTTCTGTCCCTTCCTTCAGCACCTGGCTTGATTTTGCTGTGGCCAGCAATTTTATCTGCGCTCTCTGGTCGAGATGTTGCCTGTGGCAACTCAAGAGAAGCTCCCGGTTCTGCTGCGACCCACAGGGCAAGGAAGGAGCATGGTCTGAGGCCTGCTCCCCACGTCAGCTGTGATGAACCTGGGTCAGGGCTGCCCCCCTGCTCCTGCCCTCAGAGGGAGCTCACTGCCATCACCACACAGCTCCACTCTCCTCCTCCCTTCTCCCACACTTGCTGCAGGCACGAAATGTTCCACAGGCTCCCACAGCCGTGCCTTGGGCATGCCAAGTCCATATGCTGCTGTCCCTTTCACACACATTTCCAAAGGGCAATAAAATTCACTCCTTGGAGATCCCCTTCTCTGTGCGCTGTTCATCAAGCAGAAAGAACAAACCTGGCCAAGATGGCCACAAAAACATGTCATTGTTTAGAAAGGCTTCACTTGACACCCAGAGATATCAAGTATATTATTTTGGGGTAAAGTAGCATAACCAGTCCTATTTCCAGTGCAATGTGCCTAACTTTTTCTTAAGTACTTTAGTACTCATTTGGTTTACAACTCTTGGTGTGCCGGGAAGAAAAATGTCTGCATGTGTATTATATATATTATACTACAGACATCCATTCCTTCCACCATTTATATCAGTATTTCAGCCTATGATCAGAGCACTCTTGGCTTTGTTCCAAAACTCATCCCCACAGATTATGAGCAAACGAGTTTCTGCATTAAAGTCCCCAGCTCCCGCTGTGCCAGGCTGTCCCTGGCAGTCACCTGTTGGAGATGTCTGCGCCGTGCTGGCTCTGAGGGCACCACGATGTTCTGCTGTCTCTCCGTGGGGAGGGGGGCACAGGGGCTGCAGTCCCTCCCTGTGCCTCGGGGTCCCTTGTTCTCCATGCCCCCCTCTGCAGATGCCATCGGGCTCTGCCCCGGGAGCATCATCACGGCAACTGAGGCTTCAGTTACAGCCGGCTGCAAAACACAGACTGTGAACAGCATGGACTTTAAGTGCCAGATCTTTTCTTGACTGATGCTCACAGCTGATGGTGAGTTCATATTTCAAGGTAACATCACATTCATCAGTGTCACAAACAATCGCTGCCTTAAGAATCAACAAAATCCTTCTCTCCATTAAGTCTCACCTGAGGAATCCCCACATGCAAGGAATGTGTCTGACAGCTCTCTGGGATGCCAAGGCATAAGCAGCATAAAGACCCATGTGCTGGGTGAAAGCTCAGGCCCAGGGCTGGAAATGTCCTGCTGAGCAGCAGCAATTGCAGCTCACGTCACAACATTCCCAACAACAACAGCTGAAAATCCTTGTTTCAAAGTGACTGAATGTTATAGCCAAAGCTGAACTCTTGTACTCATCACTGCAGCAGCCTCATGGGGCTCATTCCCCTCCCTGTCCCCTAACATATGTGAATTATCCTCCCAAGTAGCTATTTTTTTACCAACAATATGGACATCTTTTCAAAGGCAAAGCGGAAATCCCTGCAAGCATTTCTGGTACTGCTTCCAGTCAGAAATAATAATCTGATCCACAAGTGAATTGCATTTCTGTTGCTGAATTCCTTTGTACAAGTATCTTTGCTTTGAAAGAGTTTGGCAGCAGTGAGGCACAGGCTAATTTTACTTATAAGGTGTGAATCAAAGAAGATTTGCAAGTTTCTGAGTCACAGAAAGGAAGCGTCTGTGGCCTTTCACCACTGCTGTCAAGAGAAAATGTCACGGTTCAGCTATTTTAGATGTGATTTCAGACCGCTCACTGCGCCCTGCAGATCCCATCTCCCACAGCTCACGCTCTCCCCAGGGGACCGGGACAATTCCAGTCCTCTCTGGGGCCTGGGGAACTCCCAGCCTCGCTCAAACCCGCTCTGCTCATGGCTGCATCACCGCGGGCTGCGGTGCGAGAGAGCTGAATAAAATATTAACTTGGCAGAATTCAGCAAACACTTTGTGGAAAAAGGAGTGACCAAGGAAAGGGTGAGCTACTTCCACATCACACAGCACTGAAATCCCTGGGAAGCTGAGGGCCTAAGCTACAAACACTGCTGCAGCAGCAGCAGCCAGGTTCCAGGGTCTGCAGCATGCCTCCAGCGTGACTCTGCTACCATGCAAACAAGGGTCTGTAATCAACCACCTCCTCCTGTGCTGCCCTGCTGCCAGCAGAGCTCCCACCTGAGGCCAGGCTGTCCTGAGCGTGGGCACAGCTCTGCTGCACTGGCTGTGCTGGCTCCAAGGAGAGCACACAGGTGCTCTGCACCTTCCTCCAGACCCAAAGATCTCACGGCCTCCGAGACGCTGCTGAGGCCAGGTTTAGTCACTGGCTACACCCTCCCATGGGAGTTCACTGTGCCCAGGAGAGGAGCTGGGACAGCCTGTGCCCACATGCCTGGCAGCAGGGCCTCCCTGTGGCGCCCAGGCTGATGTGTGCAGGTGCTCCTCTCACCTCTTATCTCTTTATCTGCTGCTCGGGGCAGAGCCCATCTCCTCCAGGCCTGCAGGGATGCGCCAAGGACCGGCGTGTTACAGCACGTCACTCCAGTGCCACGCCTGCTGCTCTCCAACTCCAGCTGATCCTTGTGATGCCCTGTCCCCAGCTCGGGGGACAACACCATCTTCTGCCTCAAAACAGGTCCTCGGGGTTTGCAGACAGCAGGCATGCTATAAAAGCTGCACAGCAGGAGTGGGGGGCCCTCCGCCTTCCAGCCATCTGTGGGATCTGCCCATTGAATACACGGATGGATTCTCCCATGAAAGTCAGTATTGGGCATGCTTATCTGGCTTAATTATTTCCATTCACTGCCACCTTCAGCCCCATCCAGCACAGCTCCATGGCTCCACAGCCACTGTCAAACCAAATTCTTCCCCAGTAGTCTGTGGAGATGTGTATTTGTCATCTGCAATCTATTCCTTGATTTCTGGCATGTGTTTTCAGTGCTTCCTCTTGAAAGTTTTTCAGATTTCCCTGGGCTTCTCCCTAACCTCTGTGAGCAAAGTCTCACACAGTTCAGTTGTTGACAGCTGTGTCAGAAGAAGTTTTTTTGGGTTTTTTTTTACATTCCTCTTGCTGCAGCACACGAGCCACTACACAAAGGGCTGCCTGGCTGTGTAATGCACCAAAATGTGGAAAGCAGACCATGTCCTCTGAAAGGAGGTTTTGGGGTGTTTAATTCTTTGTGATGTTTTTCAGAGATAATTGCAGCTCCACACATGAAAATGCTGACAAATACAAGGCAGCTGAGCAAACAGGTGAAAAGCTTTAAGTACTGAGTTGGATTAAAATGAACCTCTCCTCCTTTTCAGGACACTCTGCATTTTGGTTTCGCAGTAAAGAAAAATCCAGTTAAAAGGAAAAAAAGAAACTTACTTATAATTTTTTTTTCCCAAGCAAAAGATAGGAAATGCAGAGGACTAGATTGATATCCCTTTTCTGCCAGGCTGAACTCAAATCTGAAACATCTGTTCACATAACTTGAGACAAGCTCTCCCAGTCAAATAATGTAAGCTCAAACTCTTCCTGCCATCAGTGCAGAACTATCAGTTAACTTTTTGTGGAAGCCTAAGAATCCGGACACTTCTCATGTTCCTTGCAAGCATTGAATAATGATGGGTTCTCACTACCAGCAAATCACTTGCAAAGAGAAATTAGCACCTTTTCCTAGTATTCTAAATCCTAAAATCTGCCTTTTTTTTTTTCTAGAACGACACTGCACACATTATCCTTCAGGAGTTATTCAAACTGGGCAGTACCAGGTATATAAAAGAGTCTCTCACCCAGCACAGAGGGGTTAACTCAGGTGATTGCAGATATCAAGGGCAGGGGAAAATATTCTGTTTTCAATATAGAATCACAGACTGGTTTGTGTTGGAAGAAACCTTTAAAAACCATCTTGTCCCCCAACCCCACCATCAGCTGGGTCACCTTCCCCTGTCCCAGGCTGCCCCAAGGCTGTCCTGGCCGTGAACACTTCCAGGGATGGGCAGCCACAGCTGCCCTGGACAACCTGGTCCACAATTCAGCTGCAATCTGCAAGGCAAAGAGTGGGATTTTAGCTGAAAGTATTGAGACCCAAATTTGCTTGCAGAACTTGCATACAGGCCTGGTTTCAGGGCTCACACCCCTCACTGCATCCCCGCGCTTGGCAGAAGAGGACCTAAGGCTCGTGTAGAGCTGCATTCTCGTATAAATGCCTGGGCATAGCTAAGTAGAGAAGAAACATGTCTTTGGCTGTGCAAGGACAGGAGATTCAGAAGCAGAGCACTGGCAGATCAAGCAACAAGCCCCAGAACTGAGCACTATCCTGATCCTGTTCTTGTTCCTGCAGCCCTCCAAGAACTCTCTGTGTTCAACATACAGAGCATGAGCATGAACCCCACCCTGTCAGACAAACAGACTGGAAATCGACGTTCATCTCAGATTCTGCTTCCAATTCTGTGCGTGTGTGTACAAGTCACTTTGTTTCCAGGCTGTTTTCTCCAGCCTCACGTGACACGATGAACAAGCAGGGACCGTTCCCAGCTACAAACCTGCACAATGTCCCAGTCAGGTTACTGGATTGGAAGTGAAGGGCTCTGGAAACCACAGGGGAGAAGAAAAAAAGAAGAAAGGGAAAGAAGAGAAAAAGCAAAGCGCACGCAGTCACGGTAGGCAGCGGCTTTGCCGTGCCGGCTGTCTTTGCCTTCTCCCCGCACGGCGGCAGATGGAGCCCTGCCTCCCTGCTCTCGCCACAGACGCTGCTGCTGCTGCAGGGACAAACCTGCGGGTCCCGGCAGCGAGCTGGCTCACCGCCCCTGCCCGCTCGTGGAATTCTCTCAAACCTGTCACTAACAAAAGTATTCGACTAACCGCAGTACTGCCTTTTCTTCCATTTACGCATTGGGTATTGTTTCTTTCCTTTGTTAACTGACATCAGGATTACACGGAATTCACCAGTTTTATTTCTTTTGCAAAATAAGGAAGGACAAGGTTTGCTTGCCATACTTGGAAAGAACATATGGAAATTTGTGTCATGGCTGTGAGCACTGGAGACTTCTTACCCAGAGGATTTTACAGGAACCAAAGGTCAAGGGATCCATGGCTCACAGCTCTGGTGCCTGCAGCTCGTGTGTGACAGCAGGACAGAGAAGGGATGAGGGGACACTGGCCACCGTTTGCATCTCTGCAAGATGGGAAAAATTATAAATGTGTATGTTGATTTTCTCTCCCCACTTCCATCTCCAAGTGCTCCTGCAAGTGACACCAGTACAGCTGCACAGGTGCCTCTGGAGTCATGCACCACTTGGTCAGAACTTCCACTGCAGCCCCATCAAGACATGTCAGCCAGGTCTTCTACAGCAACAGCTCACAAATGGAACATTTCAGGGCAGTGAGAGCAAAATCCACAGAATCACAGAATATGCTGAGTTGGAAGGGACCTACAAGGGCCGTGGAGTCCAACTCCTGGTCTTGCAGCATCACACAATGTTCCTGAAGGTATTGCCTAAATGCTCCTTGAACTCTGTCAGGCTTGATGCTGTGACCACTTCTCTGGGAAGCTCGTTCCAATGCCTGACCACACACTTCTTTTAATATCTAACCTAAACCTCCTCTGACAACTTCAGGCCATTCCTTTAGGTCCTGCCACTGGTCACCACAGAGAAGAGATCACCTTCTGCCTCTCTTCCTCTCCTCATGAGGAAGCCGTAAACTGGGATGAGGTCTCCCTTCAGTCTCCTCTTCTCCAGGCTTAGCCCTCAGGCAGTCCTCACCTGGCTTTCCCTCAAAGCCCTTCAGCATCACTGCCCTCCTTTTGACACTAACAGCTCAATGCCTTTCTTGCATTGTGGTGTCCAGGGCTGTTGCCAGCCGTGAGGTGAGGCTGCCCCAGCTCGGAGCAGAGCAGGGCAATCCCTGCCTTGCCCAGCTGGTGCCCCAGACAGCCTGGCCCTCCCGGCTCGGAGCAGAGCAGGGCAATCCCTGCCTTGCC